AAATATAAGGTTCCTCTAGTTACACAAGTGATTATAAAAATGTTCAAAATATTGTTAAACCATCTAATTAAATACATAAAAAATTAAAATTAAGAGTAAAATAAGCATTTTTTGAGAAATTGAAGGGGCAAACCGCCTATGGTTGTTTGCATTGGATAGATCTCAAAAAAATACGCGATTTTAAAAAAAAATTGTCCAAAACGGATTACCGAGTCAATAGTTATGTCTTGCCAAAATTTCTACACTTTGCAACTAGTAGAAACTTCAACAAGTCAACACTAATATTGTAAAATGGGGTATTTTGGTCATTTGGTGCTTAAACGTGTTTGGCGAATAACCCTAAAAAAAATAAAATGTGTTTGGACAGTTCAGCCGGCTAGGCGGTGCCTAGACCGCCCGGCCACGGAGGAGGCCGATTCCGGCCTTCCTCGCCGCGGCCGAGCGGCGCCTAGGCGCGATTTTTGCAACATTGTTAACAACCAAGTAATCATTTCATTTCTCGAAAAAGTGTGACCAAGTGGATGGAAGATGATTATTATATTTGAAGATCACGAGTTTGATTTTTACCAACACCTCTTAATCAAATTTGTAGAGGAACTTCCTAGTGTGATTTACCACTCCGGTATAAATGAATCAAATTGAAATTGAAATATTCATTAAATTAAATCTGAATAGCTTCACTCGCTTACGCCTCTTAATTTGGCTAACTAAAGAATGAAAACAACCATTGAAAAAATTACACTTCTAATTCGTAAAATATAGTTAGATGATAAGTTTACAATGACACTTAAGATTAAGGATTGAATTACATTTATCTTGAAGTCTATAAACTATAAAGTGCTATTTTGCCTTGTTTAAATATTCCAAATTCTACAAATGGAGCAGTTAAAGCTCAAATAACTGAAAATTTATTCGCTGCCCGCCCCCAACATTTTCCTTTCTTTAATGCAATAATCAATTATTAATCCAATTTTACAAGAAACTAATAATAATAATAATAATAATAATAATAATAATAATAATAATAACAACACAAATAAATAAAAAAAATGTCACAGGATCGAACTCTAGTGGTGGGGGCTTTGGTTCTTCGGGCTGAATAGATTGAGAAAGTATATGACAAATACTACTATCTTGCACAGAATCATGATTATATCAAAATAATAACAACAACCATCCAAAAAAGATGATCAAATGAGTAATGTATGAGCTTGATTCTTGTCAATACTAGTTGATCGAACTAGTCGCACAAGGCAACCCAATATAATTGGTTAAGATAATCTAGGCTCGTTTAACTCTTTGTGGTCAACATCACCTAGAGCGTGATTTAACTCTTTCTGATTTTTTACCAACTAAGGTCATGATACCGATCCTTGTGGTCAGATAAGCATCACTCAGATCATGGTTTAATTCTTTCTAGTCTTTGCCGACTAGGGTCACAAGACGGCGTCTTGTGGTCACTAGTATGATAGGCATCACCTAGAGGGTGGTTTAATTTCTTGTGATCTTTTACAGACTAGAATCATGAAATAACTCCTTGTGATCAGACAGACACCACCTAAAATATACATTTCATAGCAATAGTGAACTTTTCTGTAAATTAAAATAAACAATAAATAATATGCCACTACATTTCAAGTCGGTCCAACTTCGCCATGTGTATCCAAATTTTCTTCTTTTATACCTTCTATGGTAATTCTTTGTTTAATTCTTTAAAAATCTCAGATGAACTGGCAAAGCCATTAAAAAACACAGAACTTGAAACTCTCTCTCTCTCTCTCTCTCTCTCTCTCTCTCTCTCACAATCTTCTCTTTCTTTTGAGATGCAAATTTTAAGGTGAGACAGGGAGTCATATTTAATACTACGTGGTCTGTCAGAAAGCAAGATTTCATTACATTGCGCCCTTTGCCATTTATCATCATCCTCTCCACTTTCTTTCTCCAGGCATTTTCGATTTTTTTCCCAATTCTTGATTTTCCGACGATGAGAGACTTCGCTTCTTGTTTTAACGAATACGCAGTCCATGTTTCCGATTCATACGCCTGCGCCAGCCACGCCGGCAATTCTTGCATTTCGCCGGCGCTGACTCCCTCGGTGCAGAACACGGTGGTCTGCGTTTACAGAGCCGTTCTGTCCAGCCGGAGAAGCGTTCCGATCAGGGTTTCTTGGAGCAGAACCGCCGCGTCTCAGGGCCTCACCATTAACTTCGGCGACGACCCGGCAACCGGCGCCGCCTTCAAGCTGAACGGAAACGCGCGGTTATTCCGGAAGAAAAGGGGGAGCAAATCGTTCGAGTTCGGGAATTCCAAGGTCGAAGTGTTCTGGGATTTGTCCGCCGCCCGGTACTGCGCCGGCCCGGAGCCGATCGACGGGTTCTACGTCTTAGCCGCCATAGATTCCGAGCTGAGCCTGCTCCTCGGAGACATGGCGGAGGAAGCCTCCTGCCGGAAAATCAAACCCGCCGGCATTCACCCGGCGAAATGCTCGCTGATTTCCCGGCAAGAACATTTCTCCGGCAACGCCCTGTACTCCACCAAGGCGCAATTCTCCGACACCGGGACGCCGCACGACGTCGTCGTCAGCTGCTACGGCGACAATAATGCGGCGGCGGCGGCCGCGAATAGCAACAAGCACCCTGTCCTGTCAGTATCAATCGACAAAAAAATGGTGATTCGCGTGAAGCGGCTTCAATGGAACTTCCGGGGAAACCACACAATTTTCGTCGACGGTTTGCTCGTCGATCTGATGTGGGACGTTCACGACTGGTTCTACAATAATTCCGGGCCGGGAATTGCAGTGTTCATGTTCAGAACAAGAAGCGGAATGGACAGCAGGTTGTGGCTGGAGGAGAAGTTGCAGAGCAAGAAAGATGAAGACAAAGTTGACTTCTCATTCTTGATCTATGCCAATAGAAGCACATAACAAATACAATTTTTTTTCAATCTTTGAAATTTTTTGTTACCACGACGAGGAAACCAGCAGCCACTATCCCAGATTCTCGGGTGTGGAAGACTACTCGGACTAAACTTGTGGTTACCACGTCAATAGTCTGACCAGATTGGCTGGGTTACTCTAGTCTTTGAATTTTTAAAAATTAGAGTTAAACTCGTAATCTTGTGGTTATCACGTCAACAGTCTGACCAGATTGGCCGGGTTACCCTAGTCTTTGAATTTTTTGTTGCCTAACTTTAATTTCTGGGCTCATCTTCTCTTTTTACATGTTGATTTTAGGATTTTAGCAGTGTTCTTCATGAAAGAAAGGGGGAATTTTTACTGTTATCTGGGATTCTTGATCTTGATGAATTGAAAGTCTGCAAATGTAAATTGTACTTTTGATGTATCTAATTATGGTTATGTCCTAATAATTAAACTTGTTGTTGTTGTTGTTGTTAAGTTTGAATGGAGGCTCATTTTGTTGGAATGGTAGTGTGTGGTAGGAAAGGTGAGGGGAAAGGTTAAAGGGAAAGGAAAAAGACAAGTGAATGAAATGATGCAAAAGATTTCAAAGGAGATGGCAGATAGATTGTGCTTTTGGGGTTTGGATAGATTTCAAGAAAGATTGGTGTAAGCATTAGGAGGACAAACCAAAAGTTTGAGAATCTCCTGTCGCTGCATTTTCAGTCCTAATCTCATCCCAAACTATGTATGGTTGTTCTGCGGAATTATACACCTTGCAACTATTAGTATAAAAATAAAAAAAATAAAAAAAAAAAATCTCACATCCATACGACTTAACTCACTAGTTTAGTAGGCAATATTTACAAAAAAGACTAAGATTTGAACATTGGCAGCAACAATGTAGGGATTAGGGATTATGTCCAAGATGAATAGATTCCTTATGCACACACTTTTTAATTATTACACAATGGGTTTCAATAATCCACCTCAATTTCATAAACAAAAAGGTAAATACCCAAAATGGTCCCTCGACTATAGCGAAATTCAGAAATTGGTCATCGACTTTTAATTTCAACCAATTAAGTCCTTAACTTTGCAATTTTAACACAATTTGGTCCTTTGTTTATTTGACCGTTTGTTGACTGTGCTTTTTAGGATATATATGTAATTTCATGGTCCATTGTCGGTTTTTTAAGGTTCTGGTTGCATTTCTAGACCACACTGTTACATTTGAATCCACTGCCGGCGCTGTACCCCATGCCGGAGAGATTATAGCTTTTGATAGATAGATCGCCGAAGTCCCTGGAGTGGCTCTTCGAGAAAGCCGTGACTCCAAGCGATGTAGGTAAGCTGAACCGGCTCGGGATCCCCAATCAGCAAGCGGAGAAGCACTTCCCCCCTCCGAAACGGCGCTGTCACCTCCAAGAGCGTTCTCTAAGCTGAACCGGCTCGTGATCCCCAAGCAGCAAGCGAAGAAGCACTTCCCCCTCCGAAACAACGATGTCACCTCCAAGAGCGTTCTCTTGAGCTTTGCACGTGAAACTACATATATATCCTCAAAGGTCGCGGTCAACAAACGGTCAAATAGATGGAGGACCAAATCGTGTCAAAATTGCAAAGTTAAGGACTTAATTGGTTGAAATTGAAAGTCGATGACCAATTTGTGAATTTAGCTATAGTCGATGGACCATTTTGAGTATTTACTCTAAACAAAAGTTTGCATTTTCGATCCTAATAGCAACTTCATTAGTGGGGTTTTCACAATTTTTGAGGCAAATGTGGCTGTCTTGGAAGAGAGAATGTGAGGAGGGAGAAATAGTGAGTTCTCCCGGTAAGCACCTTAGGTTTTTTCAGGATGTGGGACCCACCTAAAATGAAAGAAAGTCGATGCAAAACCGTGCCAGCCTAGCGCGTGCAGTGCATGCATCGGCTGGCGCATTCTGTAGTGTTGTTTCTTTTTTTTTTTTTTTTTTTTTTTTTTTTTTTTTTTTTTCGGGAAAATGACACTTTTTCCCCCTGACTTATATACCTATAGCATTTTTTTCCCTAAGTTATTGAAGTGGCTGTTTTTCCCCCTGAAATGTTAAATGGACATATTTACCCTTAAACTAAATATTTAATTTATTTTTTCTCCAACAAATTATTACCTTAATTTGGTTCAAACTAAACAAACACTATAGCAACCAAACCGAAATATTCCAATTACAATTTAGAATCGAAATTCGATATTTAGAGTTTATTAAAATCGTGAACCGGAACGGACGGTTCATGTTCCGAACTGAAAAAATAAAATACATTTATTATTGAATTTAGACTATTTTAAAATAAAAAATAAAATTTTAAAATAAAGACGGTTCAAAACCGCGAATTAGATCCGGAACCGCCGGTTCACGGTTCAAGATTCAATTTTTTTGATACATAATTTTAATACATTGACATTTAAATATTGGGTTCTAGATCTGAATTATAACCGTAAACTATTAATTCGATTGCTTTAGTATCCGGTTCAATTCAAATCGAACCGTGGTCATCCCTACGTATACGCAATAATTTGTTGGAGTAGTAAAATAAATAAAATGTTTACTTTAAGGGTATAAATGTCAATTTAATATATCAGGGGGGAAAAAGCACCACTTTTAGAATAATTGAGGGGGCTAATGTGCTTACCTAAATAATTGAGGGAGAAAAAGTGATATAAGTATATAACTCAGGGGTAAAAAGTGTCATTTTCCCTTTTTTTTTTTTTTTTTTAACTTTACGTCAGAAATTTTCTTTTCCTTTTTTCCTTCTTCTCTTTCCTTCCTTTTATACTTGACACTTTAAAAACCACATCAAAATCTCCACTATTAAGGATGTCCTTATCTTCCCAAAGTATATACACGTGTCCTGCCACATAGATATAGACGAATTCTGCATTTTGGGACAGTAAGCCAGAATTAAACCACTCCTTATTTATCCGGTGACGAAATTTCGTTAATTATTATAATCTACCTCAATTTCATAACTAATTAAAAGTTTACAATTTTAATCCTGATCTATCACAAAGTCTATACGTTGCTTGTCCCTTTATATAAATGAACTTTGCACATTGTATTTGCTTGATGGATTATTAAGGCACTCCTTAATGATCATGTGGCAATTTTCATTAATTGCCATAACCTACCTCAATTTCATAACCAAAAGTTTGCATTTTCTATCCTAATCTTACTCCAAAGTCTATACACTTGTCCCTCTATATAAAGACCTTTACACTTATAGCTGCTCGATGGATTTTCGTTAATTACTATAACTTACCTCAATTTCATGACCATAAGTGTGTAGTTTTCGTCCTAATCTTATCCCAAAATTTATAAATTTGTCCCTTTATATAAATGAACTCTATAGATTTTCGTTAATTACTATAACTTGCTTCAATTTCATAACCAAAAATTTGTAATTTCAATCCTAATCTAGACGAACTCTATGAGTTTACGTTAATTACTATAACTTGCCTCAATTTCATAACCAAAAATTTGTAGTTTCAGTCCTGAACTCATCCCAAAATCTATAAGCTGCTCGATTGGTTTTCGTTAATATATTACGATAAGCTATCTGAATTCCATTGGCATGGGGGAAACTAGAGGGGTTGCCAGAGGGATTGAAAGCAGGGTGGATGACAACATGGGGAGAGAACACAGATCAACATCCAAGGACCACATTTGTTTCAATTATGGTTTTATTGTTTTATCTACGAAAGAAGGCGGGGTAGTTCAAGGACAATGAATATTGAAGAGCGGTTTATTAAAGAATTGCCGTTTCCTGTTGCGACTCTTTGTTTGTTTGTCGATTGTCATCATTAAATTTTGTGCGTCTGTTTCTTATAGCACTCCACTGGTGGTAGGGGATCACTTTAGAGGAGCCCCGCGGGGACTGCACTTGTTTTCTTCTATTCAAAATGGTTCACAAAAGGTGAAATCTCTAACCCCAAAGGTCTTCATATTATCATTCGACAAAATTATGAATGAGTAAATCATAATGGGGTGTAAATGAGTCGAGCAACTCGGGAACGGCTCACGAGCCACTCGGTCAAAGCACGGATCTAGCTCGGTCAACTTCGAGCTTGAGCCAAACTCGAGCCGGCTCGTTTCGTAATCAAGCTGAGCTCGAGCTCAAATATTTTAGGCTCGTGACTTGTCAAGCTATATATATATATACCCAAGTGGCTCGTGAGCCGCTCGGTCAAAGTTCAGCTCGAGCTCGACCAACTTCGAGCTCGACCTTCAATTGTGGTGCCTATAGAGAGCCACCCAAGGTGAAATGATAGTAACCTTAACCCATTAGGTGAAATGACCACTTGTGGTGCCTATAGAGAGCCACCCAAGGTGAAACTCAAGGCAAATTATACTATGGACTAGGATCTGCCGAATCCTGATTCAAAATGACATTAAGATGATGTGTTTACGGGTAGTATATTATGTGTCTGCTGTTAACATATTATGTGTTTGTAGTTAACATATTATATGTTTTCAATTTATTTACAAGCATATAATTTATTAACTAAAGGTCATGTTAACGGTAGACACATAATTTTTAGAGCAGACTTCACAATCCAATATGTACCCTGGTCCATGAATAATACGGAGTAATTGAAAGCTCTCACACTTTAACTGCCCGCATTTGGTTGCGTCGTTGCCAACCATCAGTCAAGGAAGAATCTACTGAGCTACCCGTGTGCGGGCTCTGTTTTTATGAAAAAACTTGACTATGTTGCACGTTACCAGCACTGGTTGCTTTTTCCCTACGCCCACGGCAGTCGTCCGTGCCGCTGGTCCCGACCGTTTCGCACGCACTAGCGCCAGTGGAATGGTGGTGGGCATGCCGGCATATATGCATGCGCACACATTTGTTGCAGATTAATTTTTTATTTTTTATTTTTTTAAAAACTATGTTTTACTTTCACAAGATGATGTAATTCTGTACTGTGTGCAGTCTGCGCATTGGTGACGCTCCATCCCTCAACTTCTTTTGCTAATGATTGAGTCGTGTGGTGTAAAAGGGTTTGATTTAAGGAGCTCTTGTTTGTTCAAAAGATAAATCTTTTATCCCTTTCGGTTGTTCTGAAAAGTCCTTGTTAGTTTAGGGAATGAATTATGAGATTCACACTTTAAGGGGTGTTTGGCTGTCCTGAATTGTATTGACATTGAATTGCAATTCAATGAAATGATAAACTATATTGTAAATACATTGAATTGCAATTCAATAAAATGATAAACTACATTATTTGGTTGGAGGAAATTGCAATTCTTTTAATTTATTGAATTGCAATTCATAGGTCCCCATATGAATTGCAATTCAATAAATTCATCCCTACAATGAAAAGGGAAAAGGAATGAAATGACATATTTGTCCTTGAATGTTATTACTAATATTATTACACAAGGGTATTTTAGTCTTTATATTACTCCTCCCATTTTTATTATTCATCCCTACCAAATAATGTAATTGTAAGTCCTACTTTATTCCCACCTTATTCTTTTCCCACCGAATTACAATTCATTTCCCTTTTAATTCATTCTTTCCAACCAAACGCCTTGTAAATCTTGAAGTAAATAATACATATACTACACAATTATGAATTGGAAAATACTACATGGATTCTCATTTCTTAATCCCAACTTTTACTTTCTCTCACAAATTCTTGATGTAGACACATTTCTTGGGATCCATATGATGAAAATATCCAATCTTTGTTTGCCATGTCATGGAGTAAAAATGGGAGGGTAAAATTTGAAAGTACATGTAGTAGAACTCTTATGAATTAGGAGTGTTTTATTATTATCCCTACTTTATTTGGCTTCATCACCAATAGGTTGGGGATAATAAATCTTTTATCCCTTTCGGTTGTTCTGAAAAGTCCTTGTTAGTTTGGGGAATGAATTATGAGATTAACACTTTAAATCTTGAAGTAGAAAATACATATACTACACAATTATGAATTGAAAAATATTACATGGATTCTCATTTTTTACTTTTAACTTTTACTTTTTCTCACAAATTCTTGATGCCGACACATTTCTGAAACCCACATGATGAAAATATCCAATCTTTATTTGTCATGTCATAGAATAAAAGTGAGGGATAAAATTTGAAAGTATATGTAGTAGAACTCTTATGAATTAGGAGTGTTTTATTATTATCCCTACTTTATTTGGCTTCATCACCAATAGGTTGGGGATAATAGGTTATTGTTATTCGCTCGGTTATTCAAGGTCTATGTGGAGATAGAATTAGGTATCATAGGGATGTTATATCATTATGACCAACTTTCTTTAATTTTTACTCCTTAAAATGATTATTTGTCAATTTATCATTGGTTGGTATACATGATTACGTGATATCTCCCCGATATGCAATCCTATCGCGGTTTATGGGTCACTCAATCTTTGCAGTATAAAAGTCATTCTGCCTATGACAAGTTGAGACAATCTCAGTCATTTGGTAACACTAAACTCATCTAGACATAGTCAACCGATTAGGCTCATTAGAAAACAAAGTCGACATTGTGATGTATGACAATTTCCTAGACTTTTCCTCAAAGGCAATAAGTCTAATAGTTGTCTAAGAGCAAGTCCATCATACAAGGTGATGGGGTGTGAACCCCGTGGGCTCGGGGCCCAAGAAGAAAAGAGATAAAGCCCAGACAAAGAAGGGAAGTCCAAGAAGAAAATGGAGCAAGCCCAAAAGAGATACGAGCCAAACCGAGGAGTCGGTTGGCCCAGGAGTCGGCTCGACCCGGAGGTCGGCACGGGTAGAGGGTCGGACTAACTAGCCGTTATTCCTAATTATCTACCCTTAAAAGTCCTATTTATCTACCTCATCCATAACCCCCCAAATAAAGGCTACTTATTAAGTCTCCCACTTATTACCCCACTAATAACCAAGTTAATACCTATTAACTACCCTACTAAATGGTCCAACGGACACTTTTGGGGATGGGCTAGCTATAAAAGGAGGAGAAGACAAGAAGAAAGGGGGATCATCCACTCATTCACCTACACACATGGGAGGACTCTCCCAAATATTATCCTCCCACTCACCATCCTTTCTCTCATAGAATACTACACCACTCTCCCAAGAGAAG